GTATGAAGTATGAAGTATGAAGTATGAAGTATGAAGTATGAAGTATGAAGTATGAAGTATGAAGTATGAAGTATGAAGTATGAAGTATGAAGTATGAAGTATGAAGTATGAAGTATGAAGTATGAAGTATGAAGTATGAAGTATGAAGTATGAAGTATGAAGTATGAAGTATGAAGTATGAAGTATGAAGTATGAAGTATGAAGTATGAAGTATGAAGTATGAAGTATGAAGTATGAAGTATGAAGTATGAAGTATGAAGTATAAAGAATTAAGAATTAAGACTTAAGACTGATGAAGCATGAGAATGGGAAGAATAATGTATGAAGACGGGAGATTGACGAATGGCGAGACTATTTTATCGATGAATGAATAATGAAGAAAAACGAATGACGATTAAATTCTGAGGATTGACGAGTGAAATTTAAGGAACATCGAATGAAAAAGAGGTATACAAAATAACAAGTATTGGCGACTGATGAATGCCGAATGTGGATAAACTATTAAATCTAGCGAATTACTAGCGAGTTGGAAGAATCGAGCGATTAGGGGCGAGTGGAGTGGCGACTGACGAGTGCTCAGTGCAGAATGACAACTAGAAATATTTATATATGTATATATACATATCTATAGTCTAGTTACCAGTGAGGACAAAGAGCTAGTTTACCAAAGAGTATCAAATAAATATATCGAGTGTCTTATTGACTTACTCAATGAGTAAGAAGTAAAGGTGGCGTGGTTAAAGAATAACGAAGCAAATATGATTTAAATATTGAGTAAATCATGAGTAAAGCTTAAGTAGTCACTGAATGAATGACTGAAACTAACTAGATCAAATAATGAGTAGAAGAAAATATCTAGAGTATAGACAAGGCCAAGGCTTATTAGAGAGTTGACAAAGTCGACAGAGACGCAACGAGAGACGACTCAATGCCAGCTCGAAATGAGAGACTATTAAGTAACGTCAAGTAATCAGATCAGATGTATTTATATGTAAAGAAAGTGCTCGCTAGTAATTTGTATTTTTATTCAGATTCTGCCAGGGGAAAGGCGTATAGGGAGAATGGGGGTCGGGCAATCAAAAGCAAATGCATTCGAGACACTTTGATGCAATCGCAGTCAATTACCGCGCACTGGACGAAAGGGAAAGTGCAAAAAATGCGAGTTCGCTGCGGTGTCTATTGATAAGGACGGTCAGGGACCTTTTCAACTGACTTTGGCATTGCCAGCCAAGTGAATACATGTTTCTTTCTATAAGCAAACAAAAATAAGCAAATAAAAAACAGACTCATTAAGCGATAATCAACACTTCAAACGACACTCAAATGAGGGTAGAGCCGATGTGGGTATACGAAATACCGAACCCAGATCTTTATCAGATGATATCATATAAATAGCTGTGGTTACCTGAGTACATACCTACACACAATACATATACATATAGGTGTATATATCTAAGGCACATGACGAGTGCGATCTATATACAATACGTATTATATCTATAATTCTGTGTATGCCCTGCCTGATTGCCCAAACGGGCATATGTTCAAGTATCCCGGACGTGTTGCTTATCAATTATCAGCAGCAAGCAAAATGGACTCTGGATGGCAATGGGACTGGGAATGGCAAAGGCAAAGGTATTCCATACCTTTATATATACACATGTGTGTGTGTGTGTGTGTGTGTGTGTGTGTGTGTGCATACACATATCATTTACCACCATCTCTCTTAGTCGGGCAAATGCGCTGAACTTGTGAGAATTGGAAAATTGCAATGGCAGCTAATGGTAGAAGGGCTATTTGACAAAGGATGCCCAACGATCCAATCAATACACATTTCCGGCTGCCTCGCCCGGCTAATGAATGTCGTCTGCTGCCACCGGAAGGGGGACAGAGGGTGGGACAGCGACTGAGGACCGAACTGAAGCTAACCGGCTAGAACTGATTCCGGTTCTAGTGCGTGCGCAGTGGAAAGTTTTTTTGTCTCTTCTTTTTCGATTCGTAGAAAATTGTAGTAAACAGAGGCTGCTGGGCACGAGACGAGTCGAACGACAACAACATCACCAGCAACGAAAGATAAGACAATTGACATTGATTCTGCCTTTTTTCCAAATAGATTAAATGCTAAATGTCAGTTCGAGTTTAACCTCAAAAAGCATAGCAAAAGAGAGCGAGAACGGGAGCAAGTGAGAGAGAGTAAGTAGCGTGAGTAAGTAGCGTGCTTCTGTATGTGTGTGTGTGGGCGTTTTGACGGCGTGGGCAGCTCACAAATGTCAAATTCTCAAGTTTAGTAGAAAGGACATTTGGTTAGCACCATGACGTATGAGGTAATGTCGGATTGGGATTGTGTAATCGGAGCAGTTAGTTTTACAAAATATACGCACAATAGCGGCAAATACATATATTTATAAAGGCACATGTATTTGTGTCTGCTTAGGATCTGTGTGTGTGCGTATTTTGGTATATTTGCTTGAATGTTATATTCACCTAGTGCCGCCGCCGCACTCCTGATGACGGGCCTTTGTTCCGTTGTGCGGCCCGAGCAATGGATTGCCCTTGAGTTTGTCCTTTTCGACCGCCGCTGCTTGGGCGGCAGCGACGCCGGCAGCGAAACTGTTATACGGCGCGCATGCAAACTGGTTTGCTTGGCGTATGCCTGTGAATGCTCGTACGTATAACACTACGCCTACTATATAGCAATGTATGTGTGTTTGCATGTATGCATGTGAGCGTGCGCCACGTGTAGGCGTGTGTGTAGGAGGCTCGTCACCGGCATTCGAAGCCAGTGATGCGCAGTTTTTTATCCAGCTGGCTTGACTTTGATGTAAAGCGCTAGCTAGTATATATTTTTATATACAATCGATTAATGCGACGCAGTTTTATGACGTAAATGGAGTTGTTCTCACCAATTCGAAGCGTTATTAGAGCTATGTATGTATGTATGTATGTAGTACAGACTCTGTATACATATAGAGTTGGATTCAATAATTGCAATCAATTAATGGAATTACGCCTGGGCTAGGGTTACAAGTGTACAAGCAACAAATTATAGCCAAACCGGAAATTAAGAAGAGGGAGAGAATGGAAATAGAATACAAAACAAGGTTCACGGTCACCTAATTCAATGTCATTTCTATCTTAGATGGAAAGGTGAAACTAAAAATAACATATATAAATACAAAATAATAATAATAATAATAATATAATAATAATAAAATAATAATAATAATAAATGCATGTTTTCTTTTAACAGTTTGTTAACATTCAAATTATAACGAACACAATACGCTGAATGAGGCTGCCAGACCATTCGAAATGGTATAATAATTAACTGAGATTGATCAACACTGTCGTCGTGCAGCTATCGAACTATCGCATATCGGCCGGTCATCAGCTGTGCAGTTGAGAGTTGAGAAACGCGAGGGCCGCCCTCTTATAAAACACAATGTCTTTTAGTAATTTATTAATGAAAAACAGCATAAATGGCAGCTTGCGCAGCACACAGTCAGCAGCGCTGCTGCTGCTAAACGTGAGCACCCGCCAGGGGCACACGCTGCGCGGCAAGCCGCCCGGTGTGGCACGCACGCTGGAGCAGCGACTGCAAGGTAATTTCTGTTGATGTAATCTAGTTTTGGCTCCAGCAATTTACTGGCTTTTGACTCCTGTTTTGCATAGATGAGAACGTCACCGATCCGGAGATTGTGGCACGCATTAACATTGGCTTTCCGCAGCTGAAGCCATCGCGTTCGGCACAGTTAAAGGAGCGCCTCGAGCACCTGAAGGCTCAGCGCGCCAGCAAGGAGCTGGAGCAACTGGCACGCGTGAATAAATGCAAGTAACTGTAATTCCTTCCACTCACACATAGCCAACTAACTTCAACTTAAATTTGCCCCACTCGCAGTGCTCATCGATTTGGACAAGGTGCAAGAGTCCTACGTGCAGAGAACGGGCCAGCATGATCTGCGGCTGTTGGCGGATCACTATGGCATCTTTGAGCATCTGTTTGGCAGTGCCTACTTTGTGCCGCGCGTGCCACTGACCATACGCTACGAGCTGAACGCCGATACCCTCAGCCCCGTCTACAATGGCAATGTGATCAAGCCCTCGGAGGCGAGCAAAGCGCCCTTGGTTAGTTTCGATGGCCAGTTGGATCCTGTTACGGGCAAGGCAGCGCAGGGTGACAGCTACTGGACCCTGCTGGCCACCAATCCAGATGCACACTACACCAATCCCGCAGCCGAGTGTCTGCACTGGTTTATGTGGGTTACCAAACATGTCTTCCTTCGTTTTGTTAAATATTTATACATTCTTCTTTTAGTGCCAATATACCCAATGGCAAGATTGTTGAGGGCGAGGTATTGGCCGACTATCTGCCGCCGTTCCCTCCTAGGGGCTTGGGTTACCAGCGCATGGTCTTTGTGCTCTACAAGCAGGAATCCCGCCTAGATCTGAGCTCACACAAGCTGGATGCCAAGGATTATAACAATCTGGAGAAACGCACCTTTAGCACATTGGACTTTTATCGCCAGCACCAGGACGAGCTGACGCCAGCGGGGCTCGCCTTCTACCAGACCAACTGGGACGAATCCCTGACTAGTTTCTATCACAATGTCTTGCGTAAGCTTGTCGAGCTAAAACTGATATTCCATATATATTCTCATTCTCGAATGCCATTTGCAGAACTTAAGGAACCGATCTACGAGTACGATTTCCCCAAGCCATATCTGGCCGATCAGAAATTCTTTCCGCTCAAGCAGGCGTTCAATCTGTACATGGACAAGCACCGTGACATCAAGGAGATCAACAAGGAGTACCTGCAGCGCAAGCTGGCCAAGACTCATCCCTTCGAGGGCCCAGAGAAACCGCTGCGCTTCCCCAACGCCCATCCGCTGCGCGACGTGCCATCCTGGCTGAAAACGGAGATACGCAAGCGCCGACTGGGCACTGGACGCGTTCAGGACTACTAAGCCCACATCAATCCAAATAAATTACACACACCTCTGTTAATCGTTGTCTGATTTTTGGTTTTATTTTGTATTTTGGTTAACAAGTTGCTTTCATGCTCAATCGCTGGAAGTACATGGAATTGATTCGATGAAGTACACGCTGACGAGTATATCGTGTGTATGAATTACATAATAGTTTAAATAAATACGTACATAAATAGAGAAAAGCTAACTCCACACATATATATCTATATATATATATGCATATATATATTCATTCTTCTATGGAATAGATTAATGTGTTTAACAAACATTTCGCCTGCAGGCGAAGGCAACTTCCTCCTCCTCCTTCTCCTCTCTCCCACTCTCTCCCTCTCTCTCTTTCTCTCTCTCTCTCTCTAACCACCTTTCGGCCTTGTGATGCTCTAATTTAATTAGTTTTTTAGCTGATTAACTTGTTTGATTTTTGGCACAGTTTAAGTGTTATAAATATGTATGTATGTATGTGTGGTTGTGTGTGTGTGTGTGTGTGTGTGTGTGTGTGTGCTCATAAGTACTCGTGTCACTCGCTTCGACGACTTACGACTAAAACAATTTTGTAACTTGGAAGTGATTTGTGGGTGCCTTAGGTCTGGGCCTTGCCGTAGGCGCCCACCGGGGGCCTGTACATGGCCGGCAGCATGATCACCTGAGGCAGATTAAAAGCGTATTTGTGCTTGCCGATATTCTTGAAGACGTTGTCCATGCGCGTGCCCTCACTGCAAGAGAGACAAGAGATAGTGGATGCTGGATGATGGATGCTGGATAAGGGGGGAATACGAACCTGCGCATGGTGCTGAGCACGTAGGGCACTTGCTTGGCCGGCAGCTGGAATTCGCGCACCAGGACGCGACACTGCTCCAGGGTGACGGCCATGCCGGTGCGATCCTTGGCACTCTTGCAGGACGTGAACCGCAGTCCGCCCATCAGACGGCACGCATCCTCGGCCAGGTGCAGCACCTTCACATTCTTGGAGACGGTGGAGCGCAGCTGCTGCTCCATATAGCCGAGCAGCGACTGCAGGGCATCCCACTCCGAGACGCTGGCATCCGCGTCGGCCGCGCAGGTCGCGTTCAGGCCCAGCTTGCGATAGCGACTGAAGTACTGGCTCAGCCGCAAATAGTTGTCCAGGTTGGAGCGCTGCTGCTCGCGCGTCTGCCCCAGCGTGGCCTTCTCGTTGATGCCGATGTTGAAGAAGACGGGCGTGATTTTGAAGCTGAGCGAGCTGCGCCCGGTCGCGGGCAGCGCGTGCTCCGGCACCGGCAGCAGCACCTCCAGCGCCTGCCGCGAGCCCGTTATGCGCGGCATGGGCTGCACCTCGTCCTGGGCGGCCGACACCAGCGTAAAGCTGACCGCCGACAGATCCTCGATGGCGATGCACATGTCACTCCACATGTCCGTCTCGGAGCCGTACAGCGACAGCAGCCCCTCGAAGTACGCCAGCGGCCCCAGCTCACGCAGCAGCGAGATGTACGCCACATCCACCTCCCTGCCCCACAGCCGCACCATCAGAGCGCTAACCAAAGCCGTCAACTGCATAGAGAGAGATGGACAGAGAGAGAGAGAGAGAGAGAAAGCAAGCATTAATATAGATATAACCAGATACTAGAAAGAGAGAGAGAGAGAGTAAATATCCGTTCATAGCGCACTCTACTGCACTAGATCTCTATAGTCATAAAGTACTACACCTAAATAAATGTCAATCTCTAAACAGCACTAAGAATACTCCCAAAGACCCCTCTAAAGATCTATCATCTAGATAGATAGATCACAATTATATTCATATTGTGCTCCGATATAAAAAAAGAATTCGGAAACTGAAAATCCCTTTAGCTTAGCTTAGGTATCAAATACCTCTAGCTGTCCTACGGCAAAAGTTTTTAAATTGTCATATCTATATATATAGAAAAATTAATTGGGAATTTAAATTGTGGAATCCTTTTGCTGAAGAATCCGATTTATATATCTACATCTAGTTACGTTTCAATACAAAATTAATTTCAAATTGAATCTGTAGAATCTTGTTTTGCAGAATCCATTTTCTATATCTTCAAATAGTCAATTTGTAGAATCTTTTTCCCCCAAGAGCCCATTTAATATAGAAACCGATTGCTCTAGAACTCGATTCCTATATCGACATCCGGTTAGATTTACCTAGAAAATCAACTGAAAATTGAAGCATCCTTTTCCTATATCTTTAAGCTAGATAGCTTATTATACCTAGCAGATTAAAATTGTAATTTGTAGAATATTTTTGCTCCAGATTCCGATTCCTATATATTCACATCTATTCCGTATAGCTAACTATACCGAAGCAATTAATTGAGAATGGAATGTGCAGAATCCTTTTCTGCTAGAACACATCATTCTCCACATAAGCCGCTCTACGTCTCTCTAAGTTTCGGAACCATTTATAGATCAGCTTAACGACGAGTCTTACCGCCTGCGAGAAGCAAACGTCGCGGCGGTACATGATGCTCGCCTGGAGGCGATTGCAGCGCACGTCCTGCTGCAGCCGCTGCACGGAGTGCATCAGGCGCGCCGTCTTCAGCAGGCGGTCCATGGCGTGGCGCAGCTTGCGCATGCTGGGACGCAGCTCGCCCACCCAGTCGGTGGTTAGCGAGAGATCGAGGCCGTCGGTGAACTTGTTGCCCTTTTTGGGCGGGGCTGGCGCCGGGGCCGTTGGTGGTGCCGGCAGTGGGCCAGGCGCCAGATCGAGCTTGAGCTGTTGGGTCGGCTCCACGATCACATCGGGCGCCGCTATCACATCGGGCGTCTGCTGCGGTGCCACGGCGAAGCCCTCGCGCTTCAGCGGCACCTTGGGATGGCGCAGCCGGATGGCGGGACTGTCGCTGCGGCCACAGAAGAACTTCAGCTTGCTGACCAGGCACATCACACTGGCCTCGATGTTCAGCTGGGTGAGATCCAGTGGCTCCGGCTCCTCTGTGGGCCGATAGTAGTTCGCCGAGGGCGACGAGCTCATCAGCTTCGTGTCCAGGAAGCTGGCGGTCTGCGGACGCTTGCGCACGGCCTTCACCATCTCGTCCAGGTCGATCAGTTGCACCGGCGCCGTTGACGATGCGGCCGCCACGCCCTCCCAGCTGGGCGGCAGAGATTGATATGTGGCCTCCTCCGACAGCTCACACTGAGGCTGTAGAGGAACTGCCGCCGCGCCCGCCGCCAGATGCTGGGGCTGGAGCTGCTGCTCCTTCACCTCCTCCTCCTGCTGCTGCTGCTGCTGCTCAAGGTTGCGCAGATGCGCATTGTAGCACTTGACCACATGCTGGAGCGAGTCGATCGCATTGATGTCCAGCGAGCTGGAGGGCGACGTGTTGCTCGGATGCCAGCTGTTGGAGCGCATCAGCGGCTGGCCGCCACGTGGCCACAGATCCGGGGGCGCCACAACTGGCGTCGCGAAATCCTCCAGCTCCGGCGACTTCAGCTCCAATGCGCTCAGCTGCTGCGTTATTTTGCGGAACGGCGACATCGGCTCGTTGTCCGGCTCCTCGATGATGCGATGGCGCTCGATGAACGTCACAGCCTCCTCCACAATGCTCGGCTCCCAGATGTTGAGCAGCGTCTGCGTCTTGTTTATCATCTCGTTGCACAGCGGCATCATGTCCCGGGCACTGCGCTGCGTCGCCAGCTGCAGCAGCTGCGACATCAGCTCAACAATCTCCTTGCGCAGCTGCTTGGTCGCCTGGACGGCATCGTTGGCCGCCTGCACCTTGCACGCGTTGCTCTGCTCCAGCTTCCAGGCCTTGCTCTCCTGCAGCAGCCTATCGAACAGAAGGGAAAGAGGAAGCATTATATACCTTATACAGATGTGTGCATATCGAATCTATAATCACAATCCCTTCTCTCTCCTCCTCTTCCAGTATTTCATATAGACTCTCAAGGAAATCAAATATTTGTTTTTGCCCACATATTTTCTATCTTAATCAATGAAATTCTTACTGAAACTCTTACTATCCATTATATATCAACAGGGTATATTAGTTACGACCAAGCGTATTTAACAGACAGCGGATCTTCTCAATGTAAAAAATGGGATAAACTTGTACTGCGTATGGTATACACAAATATGCATGCATCTGTCCGTCCGTATGTTTGAACGCGTCGATCTCAGAAGATATAAGAGCTAGAGACTTGAAATATTCTTTGCTAAGTCTGTGCATTACTCGCGCAGATCGAGTTTGTTTCCAAAAATAGATAGCAGCTCCCGTTATTTTATTATCGATTGAAAATCTAAGCGAAAATCAGTAATAAGAATATATGGCCTAGAACTAGAGTCTCAACATTTTAAATATATATTCGTGTGTGTTTAATAGTTTCAATTTTTTATATACCCAACTTTTACAAAATCTGTTGTAGCTCTATTCAATACTAGAAGCCAACGAAAATAATGTTTCATCAAATCATAATTGTGAAGCACAGAAGGCATAGCAAATCTGAGCACGTCGACAGTTCACATACATCGTAGATGGTGTGGAAAAATTACTTTGAAACTTTCATATCCATTGTATGAATGAGTATAAAATTAATAATTTGAAAAAATTATTCATAGAATCATGGAAAACAGCGATGGAAATAACGGAACCAATGGCAGCGACGGTGGCAGCAACGGTGGATATCAGCGCAAGTTCTTGAGAGCCGATCAAATCCTAACTCAGGACGAATTGAAGTATATAAATGATTTGTTGGATCAACGTCTTAGCGAATTAGGCTGGCAAGAGGGGATTCGTAAAAAGAGAGAAGAAATTGTGGCAGCACGAGGTGAATCGGATGATGTCGACCTCGAGGTCCTAGCATTTGCAAACATATCGATGCCCCGAATCGTGCACATGGAGCTGGCGGAACTCATACGTGATATCTTGCTCTCGCGCAATTACTTTGGTTAAGAGCAATTCTGAGTTATGAGATGTATTAAGTATTGCAGAATACTGAAGCAAATAAAACAAATAAGAAAGCTCTAGTCGAAACTGGTCGACTACGAGATCCCTTGAACCCTTCGAGCAACTGATATTTCAATAATTATTCGCACATGGGGTGTGGGGTCAACTTTAACAAAAACCAAAATTGTGTAAAATATATCGAAATATACATTTAAACTTTGGAGACTCTAGCTTTAACGATGTAGGAGATATAATATTATAGCTGATTTTCGACAAGGTTTTTAATCGATAACAAAATAACGGGATGAATTATCGATTTTTGGACATAAACTCGATATGCGCACTATATACTATGTAGCACTATTTGTTTGGGAATATTGGGTAGATACATATGCAAGTATATAAAGTTTAAATTTTGCATATAGATAATCAAACTAAGATCGTGGCTAAAATATATGTAGGGTTGCTTAGTTTACACCGTTAATAAAGTGAAGATATCTTTAAGGATAATGTATAGATCTATCTATATCTATCTATACATATAAATATATAGTTATTGAGATTGAATAATTTGAGCAAAATTCTCGTTAGCTTTATAGATGAAGATTAGGGAGATTTGGGACTCACTTGATGAGGCCGCCGCACTTGCGACCTTTGGCATCGTGACGGGTGAAGGCGCCCACGGTAACAATGTCGAGTACGCCGCGACGGTGCAGTGCATCGTTCTGGGCCCACATGCGCTGCACGTGCAGATTGACGGGCAGAAACTCGAGCGCCTCGTCCGTCTTGACCGCCGAGCGCTTGTAGTAGACGCCGTCGCGCATCAGCTGCTGGATGTTCTGCTTGGCCTGGGAGTAATCCTTGAGCAGGCGCAAGTGCTCCTCGAGCAGGTTCATTTGGCGCCAGCGCCACTCGCCATTCAGCTCGCCCATGCCGGAGATCTCCTGCAGCAGCTCCTTCTCGCGCTGTATCCAAATCGAGAGCAGCTGCTGCGGCACGGCGCAGCACAGACGCGACTCCAGCAGCGTCTCCAGCACACTGATGTCGGCGCCCAGCGACGACTGCAGCCGATACGAGTGCTGGATGGGATTGATGCACACGTGACCCACGCCACACTGCTGCGGCACGAACAGGCGCACGCCCAGCTTCGGCGGCAGCGACTGGGTGCGCCGGTGGCCTGGAAACGGAAGTGGAAGATTGAATGAAGGAATGGCCAGTGGCCAATGGTTGACAGTGGACACTCACCCTTTGGCCGGGCGCTGCCCTCTGTGGCCTGCTGGAAGAACTGTGTGCTCGAGCGTGGCGGCTGCGTCGGCTGCGTCAGCCCATTGACGGCTCTGTCCAGGCCGCTGGCTGAGGCCAGTTCCGTGGCCGCTTCCGGTGCCCAGGAGGTCAGCGTTATGGAGCCGCACTCGCCGCTGGGCGAGCTGAGCGGCAAGCGCAGCCGCGTCGTGTCCTGTATAACGCCCAGCGCCACCTCCGCGTGGCCCAGCGGCAGCGATGTCAGCGAGACGCGCTCCCGCACGTCGTAGACCGTGAAACGCAGCCGGCTCGAGGCCTGGAAGCCGGCGCTGCGCAGGAAGCGCATCGTGCAGAGAAAGCTTGGGGCACGCGTACGCTCCAGCAGCTCGGTGCGCGCATGCTGTGTCCACAGGCAATCCTCGCCCGGCTGCAGCACCGAGCAGACGACGCGCGGATTCGGTGCGCGCCCGAAGCTGTCCAGGGGCAGGCTATCACAGGAGATTGCCGTCTCGCAGATGGGCAGCTCCGAGAGCTCCGGATCTACAAGGCGAAGAAGGAGGGAACAGAGAATGATATGCGTGCAACAATTATGAGATTATGCCAATAGGGAATATGTTCTCTAGAGCTCTACGATCAAATAAGAACAACAAATCAATTTGTTACATTTTTCATAAGCAAAATAAAGTTTATTCTTTGAATAAATTCCATTTCTTACTCGCTCTCCCTCTCTTCCTCGCTTTCTACTGTTTCTTCCTCTCTGACTATCTCTTTCGCTGTCTATATACATTTATATAGGTTATTTAAATTCGTAGTTTTCATATTACAATTACAGAATTGGAGTAGATTGCAATCTAAATCAAAAAGTATGCTAAAATGACGCTTTACAATCAATCAAATTTTAAGCTTAAAGCTGCTCAGAAATGTTTCAAATTTGATAGAGTAAAACTTTAGATTTACAGTTAACATTTGAAGATCTTTTTGTACAAAAGTTTTCTCATGCAATCTTTCCGACTCTAGCAAAACTTAAAAGCTCGCATCTTTATATTCACATCGTATTTATTCACTGATTTCACTTGCTTTATATATTAATGAGCTTTAGATTTGATTAACAAGTTTTTAGCACACCGTAAACTGTTTTTAAAATCGATATTTTCTTTAGTTTAGCCAAAAAGTTATTCAAGGTGCGTGTAGAATATTCAAAGAAAAGCTTAAAGCTCAAAAAGCTCTAGGGCATGTAGTTAAGCAAGTGTCATTGTAGCACATTTGATGTATTCTTTGGTTTCGTTTCTACGAGAGTCTCTTTATGGATTAAATATAACTAGAAAAGGCGAAGGCAATGTGGAGTACGATAGAGATTATCAGTTAACTAGACACAACATTTAGTTATAGCACGTGGGTGTGTAGGTGTGTGTATAAGTGTGTGTAGATTAAGCATGTGCAAATTGTGCATTGGTCATCGAAATGAGATAGTACTATATAAATTCAGAATGGATTACAAACTAGGAATTTAACATAGATCATGGCCAATGTCTGGGGATTAATCCAGGTTAGTTGAAACTAAATCAAATAGACGCTATGTAAGAAACAAACAAAACAATTTCCAACAACTTGGGCCAGTTCGGCCTAGAACTGTATTAGATCACCTTCAAAGGGCGCCTCGACTGCGGCGGCAGCCGATGTCGACGCCGGCCACGAATCGTGGCAAACTGTTGCTGGCAGCGGCAGGCCCTGATCGATGCGATTGCCCATGGCGGCAGACTCGGCGCGCTTGGCTGCGGTGGCAGCAGCTATCTGATCCTCCAGCTGTTTGATTTGCAAATCGATTTGCTGATTGGAGCTCGCCTGAATGCAGCGCACCCAATCGAGCCGTTCCGCCGCACTGTGCGTGACGATGCGTTGCGATGGGCTGTCCTTGAACTCTGCAATGGATGGGGTGGATTATTAGTTGGATAACTGCACATGCTGAGAGTGTCTGGAGCTCACCTAGATCGAACACATAGCCATCCGCCTCGGGCTCCTCATTGTGTATGCTGGGACGACAGTTCTCCAGCACCAAGACGCCGGCAACTGAAGATTTTGGATTCTTGTCCTTCAGATAAAAAAGTAAGTTTCCACGCAGCTTGCACCAGCATTCCAGCTTAACTGTATTTGGATGACGGACAAGGCACAGCGGGAGAGAGAGAGAGAGAGAGAGAGATGGCAAAAGTGCATAAGCAATGGTGAATGGTGAATTGAAGCGTGTGTTGGATTATCTACTGATCTATGGTGGGGTGGGCTTCCACTACATATATATAAATATGCATATGTATGTGTGTGTGTGTGTGTGTTTGTTTGTATGGGTCATAAGCGAAAAAGAAAATAATCAGAAATGAAATGAATGGGTAAACGAAGTTAAGCAAAGAACCCGCAACTATAGCCAAAAAACAAAACTTGTACGTGCGACTGTGACTGTGTGTGTGTGTGTGTTTTGTGTGCTGGGGCAATGAATAATTAAGACGCGCTTCAACTACTCACCATCGGTGCGCCAGAAGATTGTCTGGCGCTCGGTTAGAATCAGCAGACCCTCTTTGTCGAATCTGGTTAAAGAATTGGTTGCCAAGCTAGCCAGCTCCGATGTATTAAAGCGCATGCTTCTAGCCAAACTGGGCGACAGGCGACGATTGCGGGTAACTGGCGACGCTTGCTTTAGGTTTCTGGCTGCGACAGCTGTTGGCGAATTGTAATTGAGATATTATGCGTTTGTTTATATCGAACTGCGGCTATTAAGTGTTCTATTCGTTGGAAAAAAAAACTCAAGGCTGGCTACGCAACACGAGCATAAACACACATGCACACACACACGCACACTCACATTACATTTACGGTGAAATTCGCACTGAGAGTTTGATTTAATTATAAAAATGAGTCGCGTTAAGCCGCAACCAAATGCGGGCACCTAATGGGCGGGCGGGCACACCTTGGAGTAACCGTAGCTGCGCGATTAATAATTCAATAAATAAATAAGAAAAGTATAGAGAGAAGAAGCTAACGTCGAAGGCAAAGGCGAAAATGTAAAAGAAGATAGCTGAGGGCAAAGCTAGGGCCGAGGCGAGGGCGTTGCATGGGGGCAAGCAGGTGCCGCCGCACGTTCATGTTGTATGCCCGATGTACAACATACACATAAACACATACATATGTACTACATACCTCTCTTCGCTCACCGCGCGTTCTACGCTCTTTCTCTAACACACACTCAAATTAGCACAGCTGACGTTGACAACAGCATCCCTGGCTAAGCGGCGCTTGTGGACCAAACAGAGATTCCGCAATTGAATATTTAGCACGTTGACCTAAAACTGCGCACCTCTTCACAAGAACAAAACAATTTTGAATTTCCTTTTTATTTTTATTATTATTACTTTTTTTTTTTTTTTTTACAATTCCACAATGTATTTTATTGACTGCACAGTTATCAACTGGCGTAAGCATTGACAGTCGGCTTACTGCTATCGTTTTAGTTCTCGCAATCGCCTACTTATGAATTTCGACAGCAAATATTCACATTATTGCTGTATTGACAAGTTATTCCTTGACATTTTAGTTCGGCACTTTGTTGTTCTTTACATTCATTCTCTACGTTGAATGGCTGAAATGTTGATGTTACTGTTTCTGTAAAGCCACTGTCATTACAGATGTTAGCTTACAGGGCTGGAAAACCTAATATCGGGTTATATTAGCTCACGATTACCGGATTTAATTTTCATATTAAAACTAATAATATTTATGTATTACGATCGTTTTTAGAAATATGCTTAAAAATATTCTTTCTTTTGCATTGCATTTCACAGAAAATATTTATTTTTATTTAAAACCTGGCTAAACGATATATTGACAAAGCGATAGCTCAATATAAAATTAACAAGAAATGATAAGCTAGCAAAAGGTATTTAATTTTATATGACATATTCGAGTAAGTATGCCAGAGTCATCTTGATGTTTAGGTTTTGAATTAAAAAAAAAAAACAAACAAACAAAACAACGTCAGTGAGACCAGATGACTAACATCGATAATCTAATCGATATTGAAGTAACTTCGCAGCCAACTTAATTCAACAGTCGTATGTGTTCGCAGCCAACTTTGCGCGCAAAACAGCTGTTTGAGTGGTGAATACGAATCGGCAATACTGTTTCACATTCGTAAAATGGCGTCGGAGGTAGCGGTTGAACAACAAGACCAAGAATTTGTAAGTGTACAAACAGAATTGTTGAACCAATTGGATACATACATATACGCTAACAACTAAATGACACACACGCCCTAATATTGTGCAAAATGCTCTGTGTAAATGCAACAGCACAACAATAAACTTAGAAGTTGCGTGCGTGTTTTTAACAGTGCGTGCGGGTGGGTGTGCGTGCACTTGTGTGAATGTGTGTCGTGAGTGAGTGAGAAGAGCGACTTGAGTGTGTGTAAGTGTGTTGCAATGTGTTTCACAAATATCTGTTGCGGTATTTATCAATTGCAAATTTAATGCGATCATTCTGTAAACTGTATGCTAACACGTGCTATTTCCCCATATAAATCATAACAACAGACCCAACAACATTACAACGCAAATTAAATAAATTCCTATACACTTGCCCAATGTGCTAATGGTGCTATCAGACAATAACAACACAAGCAACAACAAAAGAGAAACAAAAACAACGGGCATGGGGAAGTGGAAGCTAATGTGTATGCTTGAATGTGTGTGTGTGTCAGTGTGTGTGTGTTGTATTGCTTTGCGTTGTGTAGCAAGTGGTTGCAACAACAATAACAACAACGCCACAAGCTCATGCCGTCGCTCTTGCTCTCACACGCTGGTACCACTACATAGACAATTACTGTTTAATTTCTCGCTCGCGCTGCATTTAGTAGGGAAAGTGATTTCCGCTCGCAGCTCTTGTTGTTGTTGTTGTCGCTGCTGCATTTTACAGTGGGCTGTTAAGCTAAAAGTGATTGCAAAACCTGTTTACAGTGGGGGAAAATAAGCAGCATTTAGAAACATTTTCGAAAGATCTTTGCCTGGCTCTGCCCATCTTTCTCTCTCTCTCTCTCTTTCTCTCTCCTTTCCTCGTTCTCTCAACTGTGCCAATTCGGTGCGCTCAAATTAAACTTCCTCCAGCTGATGTAAAGTTCATTGTTTGCTTAATCGCAGCCGCGACGAGCGCCAGATATTGTAGCTGAAATGGCCAGTGTTGCTGACCTTGCACGGAGCTGCTTGAAATTCCAATGCGCACACGATATTCACACCACACACAAGCATATGAATGCACAATCACTCTCTCCCTCTCTCTCTTTTTCCCATTTCATACTCACACGCGCTCTATCTTACCTGCCTGGTCCAGCGGCAGACAAAATTTTTGTGTATTATTGATGCGCATTTGTTTATTTATTATATACTCATCTTGTGGAGGCGCCAGCGCGTCCATTTAGGTTCACTTCCATTGAAGTGCCTTCAAATTGAATCCATTTCGTTAGAATTCTGTTGTTCTGTCTGTAAATCTGCCCAATTTCAAAGTAAAATCTTTGCATTTCGCTACGCAATTCCCCCACTTATTTGGTAGATTTGTTTAGAGCGCATCTCATTCATTTGCTCATTCATTCATTTATTCGCTATCCAATTTGTTTATCCACTCGCCTGCATACCCTACCCTACATCAAGTTGTGTATATACATTCGCCTAAGAACTGTTTTCCCTCCCAAATCAATCTTCAATCTTGATTTGATATACATACAATTATATATATACAGTACCGAGCAAAAATGAGTGAATGTTTCACAACTTTGACTTTCATCACGCATAAAAATTAAACCATACAAGCAAATTAAGATTTTGTTTTTTATACTTGTTTATTAGTTTGTTCTTAACAAATAGAAAAAGTTGCAACGCTAAATCAGCTAAACTCAATTAATGAAAAATAAAAAACCAAAAAAATCCACATAAACTCAATTTTGCACGTTTCATAATTGCCAATACTTTGGCTCTTCTACTTCTCTTCTCAGCCGAAATCATCCAGATTTCCCCATAACTTAACTCCTTGGGTATTCTTCTTAGTCGTAGATTGAGCATGTAGATTTACCGTTATCTTAGTCCTTTTAATATTCTTATTTGTAAAGCGATTTGAAGCACATTTTCTTTTCGCAACAAATTTAAAATAATTGGTGAAATATAATTTTAAAATGTGGAAAATTTCAGTCGACATTGAAAATAGTGGTGTGTGCCTGACCGGGAAGGGATTTCCTTCGTTTATTATTGCCGAAAAGCTTTGAATCAGCCGAAATTTGACTCCGAAAACTCAAGTCAAAGGTTGCAAAAAACTGTTCTCGGGCTCTGATGCTCGCCTAATGATGTCGAAAATTAAGAAAAACAAGCTGCTAGCACCAAAGGGTGTTTCTCTAGCAATTAATAAAAATGTTAGCAAATGGACTGCTAGAAGAGAAATTCGTGGCTTCGGATATGTATCATTCGTTAAAAAACAAACCTGCATTGTCCGAAAAGAATATGAAGGCGCGTTTGAAATTTGCAAGGGATCACAAAAACTGGAGCATTTATGATTGGAAACGAGTTGTTTGGTCAGATGAATTAAAATTTAACCGTTTCCAATCATATGGAAAGCAATATTGCTGGTGCAAACCTGGGGAACGCATTCAACGACATCATGTAAAGGAAATCGTCAAACATGGCTGCGGCAGCATTATGGTTTGGGGATGCTTCTCTTGGTAGAACGTTGATCCTCTACATAGAGGAAGGATTATATGAATATTCTTCAAACCCATCTTCCCAAATTCACTAATAAATGTGCGTGTCCCCACAGAGAAAGGGTTTTCAACAAGATGGCGATCCAAAACATACTGTAAAGATTATTTAGGAATGGATAGGAAAGCAGAATTTTAAGCTAATTTTCGCTCCATACATATAGAGTCTATATATAAATCCTATCCCGACTTCAATCCTATTGAAAATCTGTGTTCAATAGTGAAAAGACGGCTGGGACAGTATGATGCAGCCCCAACGAACATTGACAGCTTATGGGAGCGCGTAGAAGCGGAGTGGAGCCAATTTCCGAAAGAAATGATTCAAAGTTTGGCTGAGAGCATGCCAAAAATAGTCAACAAAATTATTGCTAATAAGGGTTTTGGACTAAATATTAAAAATGTTTAGTTTTTTTAGTTTTTAGTAGTTTTTTTTTAAACGTGCAAAATTGAGTTTATGTGGATTTTTTCGGTTTTTTATTTTTAATTTTTTGAATTTTGCTAATTTAGCCTTGCAACTTTTTTGTATTTGTTAAGAATACACTAATAAACAAACACACAAAAAAATTTGTTGATTTGCTGGTATGGTTTAATTTTTATGCGTGATGAAAGTCAAAGTTCTGTAACATTCACTCATTTTTGCTCGGTACTGTATATATATTTCTTTGGTTTTGTTTGTGTTTATTAAACACAAACACTCATATCGCCAACACATGTACATATCTTCGATTTTTTTTTATTTATATAAAACCAATTGGAGCAATTAGCAAAATGAACAGCGTATGCAAATGGATGGCTTACTTTTGATATTTCCAATACGTCCAAACATTGTGCCATTGTTGTCCATTTGTTGTTTCTCTATTGCTGACATAAATGTCAGTGTTTCTGGAAATCGCATGAAATTGTTAGTCGATGTAATTACTCTATGTCAAAGTCTCTATAATGCTTCATAATCTCTTCTACAATGCGATTTTCATAGCCTTGAACTATAAAGGTTCTTCAAGAAATTTGTTTTTAAAGATGGCAAGGGGATCACAGAAATTCATATTATCGAGAATTATTGAGATCTAATTTCTTTCAAGGGGATAGAACTTCTTTCGATTTTTCGCGATTTTCGATTGAGCGGGGTCCAAATTATCGAGACTCGACTGTATATTCTTGATCAGCATAAGATGCTAAGCAAGTTATATGGTAATTAGAGCTCTTCTATATAAAACCTTTTTTGGCTTTTTATATTATTTTGGATCTAATTTCGCAAAAGTAAAACATGGATACATCTACTTATAATATATAGATGTGTTTTTCTAAAAAATCGTATACATTGCAACTAACTTCATCATTAGTAATCTTTCAAAGAAGACCATGGATAAGGAATGATAATGAACTTTATAATCATTATTATAATGATGAATTTTAACAATGATACTAATTTAATAATAATAATGAAAAATATAATAACAAGTATTGCCCTGCCACTACGGATTCATCATCCACTTTTCCGTGCTCCAAGTCCCATTCTCTGGGCAGATTCTATTCTATTTATGGTTCATCGATGACCTGCGAGTCTTCCGCAAAGATCTATGAACGGATCTACTACGATGTAGAATTATATTAGATTGTCTAGGCTGATCTTTATTATTATTTTGTGAAGGCGTGTCGAGACTGGGCATTTATGCTTCAGAGATAGGCAAGAGATAAACTAGGATGCCTATATCAATAAATGAAGATGCAGTATTTGGAAGAGTTTTTTTTATCTTGTGACATCTAGACATATAAGGCAGATGCCTAAGCTATTTCCTTGTGGTCTTAGGCCGTTTGGCCTATATCAAAACATCTAGCTCTGCCTTCTGTATATAATTTATTAATGATAATGATTATAAAAATGATTTTGTTTCACTGATTTGGGAACCTCTTCTATTCACTTTCGGCTGTATATATCCGATAATGATAAAGATAATAAAATGACTATACTGTAATAATAATGATAGAATTATAATTATAATCATTTCATCAGAATTATTATGATAATAATGAAAATTCTTTGCCTAGACATCTATCGTTGTATTGAAAGCTTTCAATCGCTGCAACTTTATAATGAAATATTTGCAAACATTTTCCTATCCATATCCACATGCATATTCATTAATATTTATGGACATGTTTTTCGATTTCACAATTTGTGTCTATTTTGTGTTCATAATTGATTTCGCTTGAATCGCAATTGCATATCGTTTTGCTCGCTGTGCTCGTTCATAAAAAGGCCAGACAACAGCACACGATATACATATGTACATATATACACATATACCTCTATTTACAAGTGTGCGTGTGTGTGTAGTTATGGAATATTAGTTTGCCATTGCAGTTGACTTGCATTCGCTTGTTGTTTTATCCTTGTGCACGGACTCTGAACCCCAAATGCAGCCACACAATGGGGCAGCCAGAAAAAGTACAATAACCTTTTTGGCACCCACCGTGAGGGTGTGCGCCACCAAGGGTGCTAGCTGGGCTGCGGGTGGGGGTAGTTTGGGTCGTAGTGCTCTTTTATTTCTATTTTATGTATAACCATTGAACGGGCCTATGTTAAGGTTATATTAGTTGGTTTGGCAAAGAATAAATGCTTTAAAATTTAGAGTGATTGTCGAGATATTTATAATATATCTCAAAAGAAACTTTCTATATTCTTTTATTATACTGAGAACCGATAAATATCGAAGATTTAGAAAAATTCTATTATGTGGTTTGAATTCCAAAATCATTTTTCATATTGATTTTAGTTTCTTATGAACTCCTCATAGAGCCAACACTGTAAAGAGTATTTCCTGTTCGATCAATATTCGCTTTAGCTCTTCTCTCATGCAACTCGATTTTATACCCTGAACCCATTGAAAATGGGAAATCTGGGTATAATGGTTTTGTTGAAATGTATGTGACATGCAGAAGGAGGCGTGACAGACCCCATAAAGTATATATATTCTTGATCAGGGCGACGAGCTGAGTCGATTTGACCCTGTCCGTCTGTCCTTATATAGATATAAATGCTAGACACTTCAATGATTTTTTAAAATGTCCGTATATATGGTGCGCGAGTTTATCTCCAAAAACCGATAATTCATCCCGTTATTTTGCTATCGATTAAAAACATTATCGAAAATCAGCTATCTCCTACATCTTTAAAGCTAGAGCTACCAAATTTTAAATGTATATTTAGATGTATTTTATACAATTTCAGTTTTTGTTAAAATTGACCCCCCACCCCTATATCCACCGCTCACCCTCACCTTTGTAAAAGGCGTATTTCTAATACTAGAGACTTGTGCTTTGGCAAATGCATTCATATCCATGTTCATGAATATAGTCCATCGACAAGAAAAGTTATTAAACAATTAAATTTGCATAGTAAGCCGACACTGCAGCCAATGCGTGTTTATGCGTGCGTGCGTATGCCTGTGTGTGTGCGTGTGCATGTGCGAATAATTATTGAAATATCAGTTGCTCGAAGGGTTCAAGGGATCTCGTAGTCGACCAGTTTCGACTAGAGCTTTCTTATTTGTTTTATTTGCTTCAGTATTCTGCAATACTTAATACATCTCATAACTCAGAATTGCTCTTAACCAAAGTAATTGCGCGAGAGCAAGATATCACGTATGAGTTCCGCCAGCTCCATGTGCACGATTCGGGGCATCGATATGTTTGCAAATGCTAGGACCTCGAGGTCGACATCATCCGATTCACCTCGTGCTGCCACAATTTCTTCTCTCTTTTTACGAATCCCCTCTTGCCAGCCTAATTCGCTAAGACGTTGATCCAACAATTCATTTATATACTTCAATTCGTCCTGAGTTAGGATTTGATCGGCTCTCAAGGACTTGCGCTGATATCCACCGTTGCTGCCACCGTCGCTGCCATTGGTTCCGTTATTTCCATCGCTGTTTTCCATGATTCTATGAATAATTCTTTCAAATTATTAATTTTATACTCATTCATACAATGGTTATGAAAGTTTCAAAGTAATTTTTCCACACCATCTACGATGTATGTGAACTGTCGACGTGCTCAGATTTGCTATGCCTTCTGTGCTTCACATATATGATTTGATGAAACAGTATTTTCATTGGCTTCCAGTATTAAATAGAGAGAACAACAGATTTTGTAAAAGTTGGGTATATAAAAATCGAAGCTGTTAAATAAACACGAATATATATTTAAAATGTTGAGATTCTAGTTCTAGGCCATATATTCTTATTACTGATTTTCGCTTAGATTTTCAATCGATAATAAAATAACGGGAGCTGCTATCTATTTTTGGAAACAAATTCGATCTGCGCGAGTAATGCACAGACCTAGCAAAAAATATTTAGTCTGTAGCTCTTATAACTTCTGAGATGTTGGACGGATATGACATGCATACTCGTGTATACCATACGCAGAACAAGTTAATCATATTTTTTCGATAACTCACCCGATAACTTTTTTATCGAGAATAATCGAAAATTTAATTTTATTTTTGAAGCCAAATTTGAGCACTTTTAGACCTGAAGACTTCAGACATATGATGAATACAAACATTTTGTAATTTACAAATTTTGGATACCACGCCCCCTTCGCCCCCGAATTGTAAAAAACGTATTTGAAGTACTACAGACTTGTGCTTCGGAATGTACACATATTCTAACCATATAATCATGATCTAAAAGTTTCATATAGTCCATCTAACTAATAAATTCCCACAATTTCGCCCACACTGCAGCGCAGCCCAAGCGCAGTCGCTGCTTACTGCGCAGTTAGCAGAGCGCGTGCTTATACGTACGTGTGGATGGATGTGTATGTATGCATGTGTGCATAAAAGAAGTGCAGAATGATTAGAATATCAGCTTGGAGGGTTCAGGGCATCTCCTAGTCGAGCAGTCTCGACTAAAGCAATCTTACTTGTTCGCTTTCCATTTGCTGTGTTTTCTGACCGATTGACTGACTTACTGAGTGACTTACTCATTGACTTGATTGACTTACGGGCTGGCTCAGTGATTGAGTGGTTAATTGATTGATTGTTTGACTAACCAGCCAGTGGGGCTGATTAATGGATTAACTGATGAGCGACTGACTGAGCTACTGGCTGATAGATGGTAAATCAATCTCAAATTGACTGATTGACTGGCTGATTGATTGGTTGATTGGCAAACCAAAAGCTTATCTGACAGACATATTGTTTGATTGACTGACTAAGTGAGAGTGAGATTGACTGGCTAAGTGAGTGATTGATAAGTTGACTAACGAGCTGATTGACACTGATTGAGAGGCTGGTAACTGATTGAAAAGTCGAATGATTGTTCGTATGATTGATTAAGGGACTGAAAGATGGACTCACTGATTGACAGCTGACCGAGTTCTTAATAGATTGACTGACTGATCTCTTGATTTATTGATTGACTATAATTTCGTCGCAGCCTATTCTTCTATTCAAGCGATCTAAAGAGCTATTCGAAATTCGGAATATTAAATCCATTAGCGAACCAGTTCACTTATTGGTGAACAAATATATTGCGTGAACCATAATAACTGAATTGAATCGCTAATATCATGAATGTGAATTGAACTGAATCTTCAATTTGTGCACCAAATTCAACTAAAGACTGAAATGAAATTTGAAACGAATTGTGTATGGACTGCATATGTTCTTGATGTTGTTGTTGTTGTTGTTGTGAGCAAGAGAATGCGATATGCAACAAAAGCTCGCACTCACATATATTGTGAATGCATATGTATGTATGCTTATATGTACATATATGCGTGTGCATGTCTGTATGTCTGTTGAAAAATAGGTCAGCGCGCTGCGGTCGGTCTGTTGCTATCACTAGCAATCAGGCACACAAATATACAATCGTAGCAACAATACCACACACACACACACATACACTCACATATATAAGTACACAGTAGGCAACAAAATAGAGCAACAACCACCCGACAAAGAGCTCTCATTGCGATTCGGTGCCTAAAAACCCCAGACCCAAACCAAAAAAAAAAAAACAACCCAAACGAAACCTTATTCCGGGATTTTTTTCAGTCATTACAAAAAGAGAGACAGGGGGCTGTGGGGTAAAGAGGGAAAGGCGGGTGGTTGTGGGCTGTGGGATTTTTGAGACGATGCGCTCAACGCTCCGCTTCGATTGCCCAGAGCCTAAATGCTTCGTCATTCCACCTAGGCAAAGTATTCAAAAATAAACAAGGAAAAATAACAACACAAATATATACATATGTATGTATGTATATAATTTGCAAAATAAAGTAATAACAACAAGGACTGCCCCAATACTCTAATGTATGTCGTTTAATGATATATTCTCTATATTGGTTTGATATTGTTAATAAGGTATATACATATGTACATATATAGTATTATATGTCAACTATTTGTACTCAGATTGGATTAAAAATGAGTCTAACTAGAATTTATTCAAATTATATTTTTGGTATTTAGTATTTGATACCAAATGTAATTCTTGCAAAGTATTTCTTGCAATTAGAATATCTTAGATGGATATAGCGAATGGACTCTCATTTCTCAGAGTATCTCATTAAATGGAAACGACGAACCCTTTTCAAATATTGTAAAAAATTGTTCATCTATCGCCGAATTGCACAATGCATGCCTACTATAGACCTCTATATTTATAGAACACTCAGATTTATATATATGTATATATTAATATATATTCATGAGCTATTGCGTTGTACTTTCCTATCGGAGTCGAAATATTTTTGTTGTTTGTGAACAAATATTATACATGTACAATAAATATATAATTTTTTTTTTTTAATATTTTTGTTGTCATAAGAAATGGAATTCGATTATTTGGGTAGCAAAGTAAATACGTTGCTGCTCTATAAACATACATATTTGAGCACTGGAAGTGATTTTCATTGCAGGCTCAGAGTGAACTTTAAGATGATTATGCTTTACTTTTTATAAAGGAGCTCAAGAAAGATGGTATTATTTCAACAGCAACTGTGAAAAATGAATGAAAATAGTATTTAACTTCTGGTTAATACAAATTATTTGCATTTGCCGATTCTAGATAATCTATATACTTTATAATTCGTATGCATAGAATATAAGTTCAAAATATATACAAATTATGGAAATTTAACTTAAATTTTTGCATCATAGACTAGACCTGGTTATATAGGGTATAAAAGTCGGTCGAGACTAGTGTGTTTAAAATATATAAAATATAATTTTGAGAACGTTTCCAGATGGAACAAAAAAAAAAATAAAATAAAATAAAAAAATAAAATAAATAGGTATTTACAGAGATATAAATGTATAGCTACATTGTTTTTAATTCCAAAAACTCTTAAAGTTGTTTAATATAATTGATATACTTATTTATTTTGACTCATATTTCATTTAAAATATGAAATATGAAATGCAAATGGTAATTGGGTCACTGGCATTGATTTGTCTCAGCTCTTGTTCCATTCTATTTCATTCCATTTAATTTTATTTATGCATTTATATGGCAGCTGTTCCATGCCATTTCGCTTATACACAACAATTGAGAGCAACTGAATTTCTAGCATAATATATTTGCATTTGTTGTTATTGTCGTTGTTGTTGTGTTGTTGCTGTTGTTGCTTGCGTATTTATTCCAATCGCAGGTTGTTGAACTCCATATGTGACCGACCGCCCGAGTGGCTCGAGGCCCTCAAGACTTCGAGCCCCTCATAGGCTGCCGCTGCGCTGCTGCTGCTGCTGTTGCTGCTGCTGCTGCTGCTTCCGCAACGCTTTCTTCTCCTACTTCTACTTCTACTTCTTTTTCTTCTGCATGAGCGCTTTATCGCTGTTGCTTTTGCTGCTGTTTATACTCTTACATTTATTATTCATATATTGTCAAAAAAATATGGAATCCCTGAACGCCTTCTGTATATTCTCTATATTTGGAATACGATTTAGCCATGAGTTGAATGTCTTTTCATTTATATATATTTGTATATGTATTATATGTTATTCATTGTAATTATTAATGAATTATACATTCATTTTAAATAAATTGCTGTTTTGTTTGAATTTACTTGACTCTATTTAATGTATTTACTTAATTCTTTTATATAAATTAAATGTTTTTTATTTTAGATGTTTTTAAATTAAAATAAAAAGTATGTGTATTAATTTAATACTGCTTAAAATTGATTAAAACTTAAATTTCCCTAAAATTAAATTTATTATTCTCAAAATTGAGTTTAATTAAATGTTTGAAATATTCTTATTAAAAATTAAAAATTAAAGATTGTTCAATATTAATTACAAATGCAATAATTAAAAATATGCATATTTGAATAGTTTAATATTTTTTATTCTTTTCTGTTAATTTTTTTTTTATTTTTTTATTTTTATTTTATTTTTTTTTTAAAGCTTTGTTTTCCAGTTTAAAAGGCTTTATAATATAGAGTATTTAAAAGATTGTTTTACATAGTTATTTTCTCAATTAAAAAGAAAATGTGTTTTTTTTTTTTTTTTGCCGAGATTCGTTTGCGTAGCTAAAGTTCAGCTCCCCTGCATGCTTAGGGCTTGCTGTTAACGCTCACTGTTAAACGCTCTAGTTGCTGCAATTGCTGACAGCAATCGCCATTGCCTAATCTCTTATTTCCGCTTCTTCTTCTTCTTCGAATGGCTCGCTGTTAATGCTGCTGTGGTTCTTGTAACTGCTGTTATGTTATTTCTAACAGCGGCTGATTTCCGCTGCCGCTGCTGCTGCTGCTGCTGTTGTCATCTGGCATCTCTTATCCAATGAGTCGTGCTCAAGTCCTTGTTGCAATATTTTTCAATTGCATTTGGTTTGTGATTACTTTGGGTTCATCCACGGGCGTTAAGACAAACACGTGTTTCCTGCCATCTTTCTCATCGTATCTTCTTTGTCATGTGCGTATGTATGTGTGTACATACATATGTGTAGCGCTTTCCAAATGCCCTAGGGGCGGGCTTTCAAAAAAATTGTTGCAAAAAACGTTGTTAAAACCAAGTTGAAAGAACTCTAATAGAGCGTTGATAATATCGCCGGACAGGCCTTGCTGGTTGTCATTGTTGTTGTTGTTTGCGTAGATGCTGCTACTCTTGTTGTTGTTGTCGCTAAGGTTTTTACTCTGTCTTTTTGATTGGTTTGACCGATTTACATTGTGAAAAGAAATGAGTTTTTATTTTTATTATTTTTTTCTCATTTGCTGCTCGTCTAACTTCAAATACATACAAACATATATCTGTATATATGTGTATGTGTGTGTGGGCATATAGAGAAGAGCTTTTATTTTTGTCTTTCGCCCTAGATTTGGTCCGTCTGGCCAGCATTCAGTGTGTCTATTTTTTGCCATTTCTGATAATTAAAAAGCAACATTTGCCTTTACTGCTGCTTTGCTGCTGCTGACTTCACTGCTGCAGCTGCTGCTGACGTCGCTGCTGCTGCTATTATTACTATTATTGGGTCTCAGCTTTAGCCTGTAAGCTGGCAGTTTGCCCAAAGCTTACAAATAACTGTTATTGCTATGCACACACAATGCCATTAGCTGAGCTTTTTGTGTGCTGAAGTTAATTAAAGCTGCAACGGTTATAAGGACAACGGTGAATTCGGTCAAATGGATAAAGCTTTAGCCGCCCTGATCCGTAATTAGCTGCAGCTAATTCGCTCCCTCTCGCGTTTTCTGTTAATGTGAATTCCTGTACAGATATGTATGTATGCGTTTGTGTGAGAGAGTGCGTTTGCAGCGCGTAAGCACTTGCATAACACTCTTAAGCAGATTTAGTCCAGTCCAAGTGGGGTCGAGAAAGCCGAAGCTTTGCTAGTCACGTTTTAGCGCAACGGTGACATTTTGGCCATAAAATGTCGCATCATCATGCGGTTACAGTAGCCCCTCCGATTGCGCAACAGTGTCAGTTTGAACTAATCCCATTCGGATAACTTTCTATGTGGGCTGCAAAAGAGGATGCTGTTGCCCCTTCAAAAAAAAAAAAAAAAAAAAAAAAAAAAAAACACAAACAAACAAATCACGCCCCTCGCTCCCAGGTGGTGTTGTCTTTGTTGATCGAACTTGTTTTCGGGGCTTTAGTTCCAAGGGCTAAAAGACACACATAAATTTTGTGATTTCTTTTTAATGCGGATTTCTGCTTATACGCACATACATACAAACACATGTATGTAAATATTAAATTTCTTAAATATATATGAAAATATGCATATGTATGTATATTCATGCTGGCCTCAGCAACAATAAAAAAATAAACATTAAAAAGAAAGTTTTTAACTTGATATATGCATGCAGAAACAGCAGCAGCAGAAGCAGAGACAGAGGCAGAAGTCGAGGCAGAGGCAGTGATAGCGGCGTCGCGACGCATGATGCCGCTGGTTTTGTCTAGTGTCAATGTCACGCCCTCCCCTTTGTGCGCTCTAAGCTGGCGTTTTGTTTAAATAATCGATGCGACCATAAGAAAGCGTAATAATAATAACAAAAATCATGCGCAAATGGTAGAAAACAAATCCGAATCACCGCAACGAACCAGACCAGACCAGACGACAACAACGATAACAACGGCAGCAACAGCAACAACAACAGTAACAGCCAGCTGCTAGAGACGAGTGAAATTTTTCTCCGGCGAAATTTCTTAACACTTTCATAAGAAGTCATAAAGTAAAGCGAAAGAGCGAGAGAGCGGGCGAGCTTCATAAATTAACTTAAGCACAAAAGCTGCTCAGCGAGCCGTGCGCTTGACTTTTGACTTGTCAAATGCGCACTTCATTTCGCGCAAATGAGCTTTTATTTTGCTTTATGGCGAATTTCCTTAGTGTTCGTGTGAGAGAATAAATACTGCAGCATTTTAGCTAATAACAGTGTGCTGTTAGCTAACAGGGGAATTGCTGATCCTTAGCTTAACATTTGTTCACTTTTCTCATTCTCTCTCAACTACGCTGTCGGTGGCTGACATTGAACTGTGTCAGTGGCAGCAGTAACAGCAGCAGCAACAGCAACAACAGCGGCAGCAACAGCAACAACAGCGGCAGCAACAGCAACAACAGCAGCGTGTAATGGGGCGGGCTGCTGCGTCGGTGCGCGCTGGGGTTCTGCTGCTGCTGCTTCTGCGCGGTGCGCTCTGTTTGCGTTGGCTCTGCCCGTGTGCTGTGCTGCGTTGTTAGCTCTGCCTGCCTGCTGCCTGTTGCCCGTTCCATTGTTTGTTGCTGCTTGCTGGCGGACAACTTTATTGCTGCCTGTTGCTGCTGGCCACATCAGTCGTCGTAGTCGTCGCGGCCGCGTCGCGTTGTTCATCTTGTCTCTTTGCTGTTGCTAAAAGCGCGCGTGCGTTTGTTTTCATTTTTTTGTTGTTGTTATTGTTTCTTCCTTTTATTCGTGTACTGGATGAAAAAAACGGCCAGGCCATAAATATAAATCAGCATTTACTGTGCATTTACGGTTAATCAATAATTTGCATATGTTTATTGGCATTGATAAATGTGATTTGATATTGTTTCATGTGAAAAGTGTGCATTAAATGAGATCGCTTTCTGCAAAATGCCTCAGTCGCAGCAGAACAAGGATAAGCATGGAGTCGACTGCGACTATGCCTACGCCAAAGAGAGCAGCTGTCATCGTCGTCTCTTTGTCTGCATAGCCAAGGTGCCTAATCCCACTCTCTCTTTAGTTTAACTAACTGTAAAATACAAGCTTTGGCTCTTACACTTTTAGAATATGAAAATATTTGTTCTTGGCTCTCTTACTTTCACACTCTTCATTTTGTTAAATTGAGATTCTAAGTTCATACTTTAAAGGATGTAAATATTTTAAGCTATTCTTTAATGTTATATAATTACATAAATCAAAGCGTTGTCTTAGCTGGACATTACGCACTATTCTGCGCTTGACAGGCTATTAAACTCATCCTTTTTTTTTTTTTTTTGTCTGCTTTGCCCACCCCTTTATGGCCCTTCCTTCGTTCGCCCCGCTATACGACTGGACATGCCTTGCGCTTGTCTTTGTCAGTCTCTTTGACTTTGACTTCAGAGCTAGTCTTGTGCTCTGCTCGCTCCCATCACTTGCAGTTGCAGTTGCCAGGCATGTTTCTGTTGTTCTTGCTGTTGTTGTTGTTGTTGTTGTTGCCTTTTCGTTTTTTGCTTGCTGTTGTTGCGCTATTTATAGACGCGCTTCATTAGTTTTTGTTGGCTTTGCCTTTGCCTTTGCCTTTAGCTTTAGCTTTGCGTGTGTACTCTTTACTCTTTAGCTCAGCTGTCAGATGCGAACCTGACGCAGACTTTCAGTTTGATTTCCAGTTGCTGCCGCGTCTACCTTTATCTATTCTTCTTTAGAATGATGTTCATGCGTATACTGGTGTATATCTATGTATGTATGTGTATATATATATGTGTGTGTGTGTTAGGCAAATGGCGCAGTAACGCAATAACTAATAGCTCCAATGCCTGAGAAAGCTGTGTTCTATGCTTGGAAGCAAGTTTATTCATATAGATATATATGAATGTATGTATACATGGATATCTTCATCTGAATACTTTGTTCACTCTTTTTGAGAATATGTGAGTGTATTTGTTTAATGCCAGATTTGGGCTCTGGGACATTATTATTTTTAGCTTGATGTAGATTAGATACTTGGCATAGACATCTTTTAATAGAGATGTCGGCGAGACATAATTAAAGTTGTGTTTAGTTGTTATAGAAATGCAAACAAAGCTTTGCCAGCTAACTGTTTTTGATGCATGCGATGAATGCGTTGGCTTAGAATAATTATTTTGATATATATTAGACAGGCTGAGTAATTCACAGTAACAGAAGATCTATGACTTATCTTGTTCTTAATTTGAATACAAAAAATCAGCTTTACTAATAGGTCTAAATTTCTTGTCAGCTAGATTATTTGTGCGTCTCTACTAATATGCTTAAATTTAGAATAAAATTTCCCTTGCCTTGTCAAGATATCGCCTGTTTGCTTTTAGATAGTAGAAAGAAAAAAAAAATAATAATAACGGACGGAAAACGCATTTTTTAGTATATATAATTTATAGGTCAACATATTTGTATAACCTACATAGTGCGATAAGACTTCTAGTTTCAGATATGAATTCAACAGGTCAGAAAAGGTCGAAAATGTAGACTCGTCTGGTCTGTTTCTCAGAATTTCATTAGAGTCTGGTAGACTTTGCTCTTCAAGCTTTAATGCAGGAGAGTGACGAAGAATGACAAATTGGCAATTGGTATTTACATTAGTCAAAGTATCGTAATGCCTTGGTTAGCAGCAAGAAATGGCATATCGATACTTATATCGAGTCCTCGTGCAAGCAAGTGCAATTTCAATCTGTCAAGTACCAATCGATGCTTGAGAGCTTCCGGCGGTCATTTTTCGACATTCTGTGAGGAAAGAGAACGGAAGTCTGTTTGACGCGAACTAACCATGTCTTTATCCAAAGCAATTACTTATAATCGCCATAATTGGGAAGATTCGAGTTCTCCAATTCTATGCCCGTCGTGCTTGGGCGAGAATCCGAACGTGCGCATGATTAAGGAGCGCTACGACAAGAATTGCAAGATTTGCACTCGGCCCTTCACTTGTTTTCGCTGGTGTCCGGGCATGCAGATGCGCTTCAAAAGGACGGAAATATGTCAGGCATGCGCACGTATGAAGAACGTGTGCCAGACATGCGTGCTGGACCTGGTGTACGGGCTGCCCACGCAGGTGCGCGATGTGGCCATCATGAATGCCAACAAGAGTGCTGCGCGGGCTGCGAAAAATAAAACGCTGATCAAGTTGTCGCGCATGGCGCCCTACAGGTCGCGCATCTGCTCGTTTTGGCTGCGGGGCAAGTGCAGGCGCGCCGAGGGGTGCCCCTATCGTCACGAGAAGCCCCACGATCCGAATGAAGTGCTCTACAGTCAGAATATCAGGGACCGCTACTATGGCAACAACGATCTCATTGCCGAGAAGATGCTGCATCGCGTCGGCCTAATGCCCAAGCTGGACGTGCCACTGGATAAGACCATTTCCACCCTCTACGTGGGCAACCTGTCCGAGCAGATCTCTGAGGCGGAGCTGCTCAATGTGTTCTATCCGTATGGCGAGATTCGCTCCGTCACGCTGGTGCCGCGCCAGAGCTACGCCTTCGTCCAGTACTTCAAACGCAGCGACGCCGAACTGGCCGCCGAGCGCACCTTCAGCAAGCTGTCGCTGAAGGGCCGCAGGCTCATCATCAAGTGGGCCCGCACGCAGCAGAGGCCCTTCCCGCTCAACTTCAACAAGAATCGCCGCTTTGCCGGGGAGGACCTCAGTTTTGGCAATGGCGAGATCTACATCATGCCGCCCGGCCTGAAGCTGCGCGACTTGCCACCCAGCCTAATCCCGACCTCAGTCTACAAGCAAATCGTGCAGAGATAAATCTTGCTGCCAAACTATAACACTTTACACATCTCTCAACACACCGAGAGAAACTCCAGTAAATATTAACCAAATAAATTAACAACAATTCAATTTTCGCTGCTTCGACTGCTTCGACTTATGTTTACTTCTTGCCATAGTTCTTGATAGAGAATTGGTAGACAAGTCTAATATTCGCTTGCTCTGTTGCTGATTGACAACAAATTGATAAATGGAATTTGTAGATTATTGCTGAGGTGAATAACTACACAAGATGAGGGCTTTGGAGAAACCTTTAAAGAGCTAACAGCTAGGCATACCCTGTAATCAAATTGGCTAAACAAGTAAAAGTTGGGGTAGCAGGCATAAAGTTGAATTAGGGCTTCAAAAGGCTTCAGTATACACATACATATACACATATGCTCAGTTGCATCGGTGTGAGTTTATGATTTTGTCTTGCATTGGTATTAGCGTGAATGAGTTAGCATTTTATTGACAGTTAAAAAAACCATTGTCACTTAGAGTCAGAGAGTGAGAGAGAGTAGACAAAGACAACTATAGCTATTGCAGAGCATGGCTGTTCCGTTTGTAGTTACTCACTCGAGCATAGGGCTGCAATGGTTTCGATAATCAAAAAGAATGCAGCCAGAAATAATTAGTTTGACCAAAATAAGCATTGGCTCAAGATTGTCGATAGAGCCAACCAGAAACTCGTGCAGATTTATAATGGAGGCGAGAGCAATAAAACTAATGCTACGACATATATATGTATATAGTGCATAGATTAGGCGCACCTAAAGGAAGCGATTAATATAAGCTTCGATAGGAATAGATTCTTCAATTAAATCATTCTCCATATAGATTGATAGAGCAGCTACAGCTCTGGCTTGTGGTTAACTTCGGGTATTTTCTAGTCGCTCACTTTCGTTGGCATATTTAAATTTTGAAGTGAAGTAAAGTTTGCTCAATTCGGGTTCATCAATCAAACTGTGTTTCTTCAAATTTCTACATTATTTAATTCTTTATTGCCTTTGATATGCAAATGAGCGAAGCGACTGCGACTGCGACTGCGACTGCGGCTGGGCCTTCACTCCGACCAAGAGTGCCCCATTTTGGGGTACTCCCCTCCGCGCTCTGCTCGCGCTCAATCTGCACGCGATTGCGCACCGAGCGGAAGCACATTAAATGTGCTTTCAGTCGCATATTTTTGAAAGCTATGCTAAAGAGTTTATATGCCCCTTGCCTCCGTATCGTCCCCATCGCAGCATCGCACCATCGCACCACCGCTTTGGTCACGCATAATGCGGCAGCCGGCATCCATTTCCGTTTGCTGGAAAAACACAGTGGAAAGTGTCTGGCAAATGGCCGCCGCCTCTCGCAGCGGAAGTTTCGGCAATCTGCCAGTAATATCCTGCATCCTGGCTCATGCCAGACAAATTGTGCTCCAAGCAAATAGGAACCCAATAGGAACGCAGTTCAATCAATGGGAATCCAATAAGATTGCGTGTGTGTGTGTGTGTCCAGTAGAAGATTGCCATTTAGATTCGCTGCCGGGAAATTGGAAAACAAATAATGTTGAGATGCAAAGGTGTTTGTTTTTAATTAACGAAACATAGTTGAGACTTTGCTAATTGGAACCTATATATATATATATATTGTATTTCCGATTGGCACTCTTGCCCTCCAATTGGATTTGATATGCTATTTATCAGTAAATTATAGAGCTTGAAGCCGATTGTCCAACTCTTGCCTCAATTATGATAATTGTCTACTAAATACACATTCGAACCCAATCCTTCAGTGTAGAAGAGCGAGCGCATGATCACGCAAGCTTAGCCCTAACCCAACTGACTGTCGATCCATTCAGTTGGAACCCTTATATAATTATTCATTATTATTATTATCTGTTGAGCCAGCGACACATGAAACGGAAGTTACTGCTCCTCCAATCACGATCATTTCTGCCCACTCGTCCAAGTCTATTGTTAACTTTTAGAGCTGCAACAGCCAAGCGATAGCTGAAGAGGTCGATCTTGATCAGTGTATCCAATTGGCAGAACGCCAGTTCATATATGAGATAGATCATCCTTGCCTATATTTTCTACACTCAGAGTTTATTATTCTTAGATATAATATGAAATCGTATATAATTCACTTTATACATCTCTGAGCCCTTTGCTCTGTTTCTCTTGGTTTTTCTTCTATTCTTTATCTCTTTCGTTCTTATATTCTTTCGCTCACCTCATTATACTTTGTTATCTTTCGCTTTCTCTAAATCATTCTGGCAATTTCTCTTTTTCTCTAGCTCTGACTTAGTTTCCTTTTTCTCCTGTAATCTTTTTCTCTCTCTTTCTCTCTATCTCTCTCTCTCTTCCTTTTCTCTCTCTCTCTCTCTGCCTTTCTCTCTCTCTCTCTCTCTCTCTCTCTCTCTCTCTGAGTTTTGCATTGTCCTCCCTCATTCACACTATCCTATTTTCTTTCTTTTTCTTCTTAGTCTCTCTCGCTTTATCTCTCATTCTGCGTTTCATTTGTTTCTCTTTATCTCCCATTCTGCCTCCTTCTCGTTTTTTCCTTAGCTCTCTTTTATTTTCTCAATCTCTTTCCCTTACACTCCCATCTGTTTTTCTCGTTTTCTCTGTTCCCTTTCTCATATCCGAATTTACAGGGTGTTTGCTAGTCATACATTAACAGTCGTCTACTTGATTCTCCTACAGCGATCACGACTAATACTCTGATCGCAATCACAGATAACATTAGTCACAACATTAGTCACTCTTTTGAAAATAAGTTGTGTGATCATTGGATGATCGATGCTAAAAACGTGTCTATCCACACCTGGGCCTGTTTCTGTGTACCGCTAAATGTAACACACTCGTTCCATTAAGCGAAGACCTAACCGTAATTCCGTGTGTGCCTGAGCTAGAAGCGCCTCCATCAAAGAGTATTATAGACTAACAACAAAACTGTCATGCAACAGTGTCTTCGACTTTAAGAATCAGTTCTTCGTTCTCGGTATACCCTGTTTAGAAATGCGAGCGAGTGGGTATACCACATTGAAGTATTTTCATTGAATGTTTTATTTTTTCATTGAATGAGTAAACAATTCGCATATCGCACATAATTTATTTTATCGATAACATCAATAATTTTCGATCAATATGAGTACATAAAAAATTAAAACTAAATATATAGTATAAGTATGCCCTAGATTTTCGTAATGCGATCATTATATAAATGGTAATCATATATATCGAGAACTTTTAATGCAAATATCGAAATGCAGAGTATCCCATTTATTGTTCGTCGTGTGCGCTGCATATTGCGATTTACAGTTTCAGATTGTTTCTGCTTCTGGTTGGTGTTTCTTCTGCTGTGTTCTTACTTTGCATGCGCAGTTATTTGTGCCCTGGAAAATCGGAAAGAGCTGGAAAAACGTTTCACTTGTTGCTCTATTAACTTGGCTCGCACAGCTCTGCTAATGGCCAATAATTTCAGCCATGGCACAAGCACGTTCCGCCTGCTACGCGTCGCAACCGGAAATGCTGTTCAACACACACACACACACACACACACATATGCATACACATGCACAGATAAACACCGACAGATGTATGCTCTACCACAATCTAATGGAATTAAATAACCAAGAATCAGATCAGATTTTGCTGAGGAACCTGAATCGTCTAAGGCGAAATGCAATCAAGCCAAAGGCCAAAGAAATTTGATTCAGTTTAGAGCAACATATTACTCTCTCTTAAACATCAGCTAGACAATAAATACATTATGGTCTCTTGCGTGGGCGTTGCTTCATATGTGGGCGTGACCCTCCTCAATTAGTCAAAATGTGTCGCTCGTTCTCGCTCTAGTAAAGCAAAAGTGCAAAAGTGAAAGTCGACCAAAAAAAAAAAAAATGTCGTTTCACTGGGCTCGCTACGAAATCGAAATAGTCATCGATTGCATACACACAGATACACACACACACACACGCACACACCTCACTGCTAATCTGTGTGGGTGTGACGTCATAGACACGTTAATATCAAATTTGATGATGAAATTGATTTCCATTATAGATTCTGACCTTAGCCAATGCCGGTGCGGTTGCTTGAATCAAGGGTATTCCCATTTCTGTGAATTTCTTTAACCTATTATAGGGTATTGTGGCTTATATAATTTAGTTTTCCTCGTCAGACGAGTTGGTATTGTAAATTGATTGAGTTGTTGAACATTAACTATTTATTTGAATATATGTATAGTTCTAGATATGATAAATACTATATATATTTAAAGAGCACTTTAATTTTCTGTTGTTCTCTATTCAACTCGCCTCGTCCTTTCTGTCATTCGCTTCTCTTTAATACATATACTTGTAATACTTTTCAAGGCAATTCTGATCAAAATTCTTATCTATGACTCACCCAAAAATATATTTGATTAATGTATATCTAATAACTATATATTTTAATAGAAATCTCTTGATAACTTTTTGTTTTTGTCCCCTGAAATTCCTTAGACGTGCACACATTTAAATATAGCCATATTCAATAGTCTTTATAACTGTTGCCTTATAAAGTATACTTTTATATATAAACATTTGTTCGACCTATATCTAGGTACGGTATTATATGTTCGATGTTAACCCCTTCTTCTTTTCCTCTTTTATCTTCATGCTTAAGCTTGGCTTTCAGTCGAGCATACGTACATACATATATTTACAAGTATATACATATATGCATCATTGTTTTATCTGCCACGCCCACATCTGAGGCTGCGCTGATAATTCGTGGAAAGAATATGCAAACATACACAAAAAACAATCCGAAAAAAAAACAATTAAATTGAAAAAGGTGACGCACTCGCTCACCATTCAAATTATCGCTGTCATACACTGGGGGAAATTGGGGGGGGATAACCAGTTTCGTAATATGGTATGGTATGGTATGGTAGGGTATGCGCAATTCGTTCAATTTAAATTCTGTATTCACGATTTCGCTCGAAGAGTTACGTAATATTCCTATAAGTCAGCAGTTTTATTTAAAACGGCTATTTATCACACAAAATACGTGGAAAAACATCTCATCAGGCCGAGAGATACGTTCTTAACTTTTTCTTCTTGCGCCAGACCTCAT